GGAATAACTAATAGTAAACTATTCGAGGTGCCGGAAAAGGCACTCAAAAAATCTCGAATATTTGTTAGTCGGAAATTTGCTTATGACGAAAAGAAGAAACTATTTCCTTAACTCTTTAGACACTAAGCAGCTGATTAACTGTATGATTCGTAATGGGCGGAACCCATCCTGAAAAACGAGAACAAGCAAGTTCAAAAATTCATGGCTGGAACTCATAGCAAGGAAATTTGTCACCCGTATGAATAGATTGATCACAATTCCTGGCACAAGGAGTGGCTTGAAAACTGCAGTCTTCGTCTTTCTTGACCGCTTATTTCTGGTCGTGGATGCAGACGCATCACACAGCGCTTCCAACGTTCCCGATCTTGTGCCAGAGTCTGAGCTTCAGCAACAGACAACTTTAGTCGGAAGCAGACTCCTAGCGTATATTTCCACCAGGTAAATCTTGAACGTCCCTTGGTCCTTCTACCAATCGGTTTCGCAAGAAACAGATGCGTGGCCTTCCTTCCTATAGGCATTCGCAATACATGCCCAAACCATCGCAGCTGCGACTTCTGAGTCAGGAGCAGCAGAGGCCGTACACTAAGACTCTAACGGATGTCAGTATTCCGGACCATCTCGAGGCGCGTAAGGCCAGCGACTCGTCTAAGAAAGCCCATTTTAACAGCTTGTACCCGGGTTCAGAGATTTTCAGTGATGGTCTACGACTATGACCATAGGTAAGCATGGGAATAAAGATCGACTTGAACACCGAGAGCTTAGTTTTCAGACTGAGCTCTGCTTTGGTCACAGTAGATCAGGCTAGTTCATGCAGAACGCCACTGGCTACTCCAATTCGCCGGTCGATATCTTCCTCAAATTTTCCATCAGCAGTAAACACTACTCTGAAATACTTGAACTCCTCCACTGTCTCTACGTTAATCTAAAGAGAGCAACTGGCAGGACAACGAGGAGGCACAAGGCTTTTGGTTTTAGATGCGCTCAACTGCGAGCCTTTCAAGTGAGCACCGTAGATCAGTGTCAGAAGATATCAAGAAAACAGGGTCGTCTGCAATCAGCAACCTTCTTGTCTTCACATCTCTTACACCGATACAGTAATCGCTTTCGCTGCTCATGACTCTTCTGTCCGTGTACAACACAAACAGGAGAGAGAGCAGAACGCAGCCTTGGCATAGACTTAACGCCATTTGCTCTGATGCAGCACCTGCCCTCAGAATACTGTGATTGGATGACCCGTAGCAGCTGGCCGTGTATCCCTTGTGCTCGCACGCTTCACCATGGATTGTTGCGCGGGATCCTGTCGTAGGCTTTTTCTAGGTGAACAAAGCAGATGTACACCGGATCGTCGAACTCACGCGATTTCTCAACAATCTGACGCCGAGAAAATATATGGTCAGAGGTGCTTCGATCAGGCCGGAGGCCACACTGCTCTTTTTGTATCTTGAGGTCAGTTACTTCGCGGCACCTCCTTTTTAGCACCTTTGCGTAGAGTTTACCTGGGCGGCTCACTAACGTAATGCACTGATAATTGGACCGTTCCTAGTGGTCTCTGTTCTTGAATACGAGTACAATAACTCCCTTTTTCCAATC